CCCATGAAGCAGGATGGTAGAGTGGAAAGAATGTATGCTTTAAATTCAGTTATGCTTTAAATCCAGTTATATTTGTGATCTGCCATTTGCTACTTGTGTGGTTATGGGAGAATTATTTAACCTTTTTGAGTTCTCATTTCTTTAGCAGTCAGTTTGTGAAGTCTTATAAACTATATATGAAAACCCTAGTATGGTAACTCATATTAGAAATTATTTGTGAAGATTATAATATGGTGCCTAATATTAACACATTGCGGACAGATCATTCTGCGGACAGAATTCTCGCTTCATATTACACAGTGTTTTACAAAGTATCATACTTTAAAAAGATAATAGCTTGTACGAACATGTAATAAATAACTTCAAAATGCAATGGGTATTTAATTTTAAAGCGTGCCGTTAACATTTATGTAAAACGTTTTTTGTACTCATTCAATAGAAACTTATCTGGCCACTGGGTAAAGCTAGCAATAAAACTGGTCCGCAATGTGTTAGGTTGGCAATGAATAAATGATGGTTATGGTTATTAATATATGTGTACATATATGTATATATGTGTATATGTATATATGTGTATATGTATATACATGTATATACATATACACATGTATATATATACTGTTTTGTTCCTTGATTTTACATTTTAAACACCATGTAATTTTAAACTTAAAAATAATTATGGGTTCTTCACCTTTGACAATGATAAATATTGCATTTTTGGGATAATCTGCATCTAGAGATATTTTAAGGGGTTGCTTTATAATTTTGAAATTATCATAGAATTTTGAGTCCTGGAGATACACATTTGTCAGAAATTGGGTCAACAGAATTTTGTGTTGAATTGATATTTTTAAAAAAATTTTTTTTATTGATTTCAGAGAGGAAGGGAGAGGGAGAGAGAAATAGAAACATCAATGATGAGAGAGAATCATGGATCGGCTGCCTCCTGCAGGTCCCCTACTGGGGATTGAGCCTGCAACCCAGGCATGTGCCCTTGACTAGAATCGAACCCGGGACCCTTTAGTCCACAGGTCGACACTCTATCCATTGAGCCAAAACAGCTAGGGCGAATTGATTTTTAAGTGTAAACATGATCATAGTATATGAGAAGTTACTTTAGTATAATTGAATGTATATATCCATCCTAGGAACTTTTTTCTTGGAGAAATTTAAGTAGCACTAAATTGTCTCTTCTTTTATCAACATTAATTCAAAGTTAAAAGACAAGTCTTTGGGCATTCATTTTACACCTAGTTATCTCTATTAGGCTTGAATGGCAGTTCATTGTTATGTTTTCCAATGAACACTAGAATAATAATATTTAATTTTAGCTTTAAGTTAAAAGAACTAAATTGTTTAAAAATAATCGGGCATTTTTTAGTTATTTTGTCTGAATTAGTTATGAAGTAGTTAAGTTTGTAGCCTTGCTGTTATGTCACTTGAATTTGTGTTATATCACTTGCTAGTACAACTCCACAAAGAGTAGAGAGCAGGTGGCAGCAGATTTCCTTTACCACTGAGACCATAGAAGCACTGATAGGAAGTTAGTGGAAGTGCTGGGATTAGGAAACCATTCTCCTGAATCAAGGCCAAATATTTTGTTTGTTGAACCATGCTGGATTTTACAGGTGAAAGTATTCTAGTGAGTAAATTGCTGTTCATAGATTTTCTTGGGGACTGACTCACGTGATATTTAAATCTCTGATAAATCTTTTTTTAAAAATCTCACCAGTGGATAGGTTTATTGATTTTAGAGAGAAGGGAATGGCGGGGGGCCCAGAATATGATTATTGATTTTGAGAGAGAGAGGAAGGGAGCACAGAGAGAGAGAGAGAGAGAAACATTTATCTGTTGCCTCCCATATGCACCCCCACTGGAGATCCAAACTGCAACCTAGGTATGTGCCCAGACTGGAAATTGAATCTGCAGCCTTTTGGCGCATGGGACGATGCTCCAACTAACTGAGCCACCTGGGCAGGGCTCTGATATATCTTAATTTTCTAACCTTTTGAATATGGTTAATGTAAGTATTAGCAATTCTTATTTGTTGATATTCTTTTATTCTTCTTTTTTCCTCCCCCTTCACCTCCCCCATCCTTAGAACACTAACCTAGGTAACAATAAGAAAAATTAGCCTTCTACTTAACTTTTCTGATTTCAGCTGCCCCTTTTTAGTCTTTTTCTTTAGTTTTTTTTTTTACATTTAAAATTGATATTAGGCTTTCTGATTTAAACACACACACACACAGCTTTTACTTGAAGAAACAAAGGGACTTAAATGACAGAAAAACACACAAAGGATATGAATAGCTGACTCAAGGAGAAGTAGTCCTATTACTACTAGGTATGATAATAGTATCATTTATATATTTTTTGCCACGTGCCAGGTACTGTCCCGAAGTGCTTTATATGCTTAATAACTCATTTAATAAACTGTAAATACTATTACCCTCATTTTTCTAGTGAGGCAACCGAGAGACAAAGGTTACATAATTTGCTAGGCCCTTGCTACTTACAGACAGCTCGTAAGTACAGAGCTGGGATTCAAACCATGGAAGGCTGGTCCAGAGTTATGCTTTTGATCAAATAAATTATAATGATTTCTTATAAGCAGAACTAGGACTACAAATTAGTACAAGGGTATATCATTCTATTAAATTGGAAGTTATTTTAAAATATATGCAATTTGGAAGGAGGTTATTTGTATTGGTGGGACTATTATTTGAAAAGCAGTATCTATGAGCCTTAAAATACTCATATTCATTGACTGGTAATTCTGCATCTAGTCATCTCTCCTAAGGAAATAATCAGGAAATTAACTGTGTTCAAAGATGTTCACCAATTATCCTGTATGATTAAAGGCTAATATGCAAATCGACCGAACAGTGGAATGACCGGTCTCTATGATGTGCACTGACCACTAGGAGGCAGATGCTTAATGCAGGAGCTGCCCCTGGTGGTCAGTGCGCTCCCACAGAGGGAGCACTGCTCAGTCAGAAGCGAGGCTCACGGCTGGTGAGCACAGCAGTGGTGGCAGGGGTCTCTCCCGCCTCCGAGGCAGTCGGACATCCCCTGAGGGTTCCCCGACTGTAAGAGGGTGCAGGCTGGGCTGAGGACCCCCCCCCCCCAGATGAATCTCGTATTAATTATAATAGTGGAAAAATGAAAGATTGTCCAATTGTTATGGAATGAATTATGTTTTCCCCCCAAAAAGTGACTAGAATATTAAGCAAACATTAAAATTGTTTTTGAAGAATAATTCATAAAAAATAAAAATATTTATAATAAGTGGAAAAGCATGATATAAAACCATTCAGTATGGTCCAAATTTAAAAATGTATGTATGCGGAAAAAAACAAACCAACCAGGAAGAACATAGAATAGGATGCTTATAATTATTTCTAATGTGATTATGGAAAATGTTTGTTTCTGGTACAATTAGTTTCCTTTTTGTTTATATTATTATTTTTATTTTTAATATATTTTATTGATTTCAGAGATGCAGAGAGAGGGAGAAAGAGATAGAAACATCAATGATGAGAGAGAATCATTCATCTGCTGCCTCCTGCACGCCCCCTACTGGGGATCCAGCCTGCAACCAAGGCATGTGCTCTGAATAGGAATCAAACCTGTAACCTCCTGGTTCATAGGTAGACACTCAACCACTGAGCCATGCTGGCTGGGCTATTTATATTATGTCTTTTTTTAGTGAACTTTCTGCATTGGCCATGTAGTACTTTTATAGTCAGAGGAAACCAAGTGGCATAAATGAATGCCTAAATGATGCCAATACCAGCTTTTACTGAAAATATTCATTAAAGATTAGATTTGCATGTCTCATAGTATAAAAGGATAGGTTTCTGAGCTTCAGTTAGTTTTAGTTTGGATATTATTTTTGGAACCATGCTTGTTTTTTGATGTGGAGGTTTTTTGTATCAAAGAAAATTGAAATTTTTTCTTAAATATATTCATTATAGTGATTGATTGTTTCAGCACTAAATTTGTTTCGGTTATGTTAGTAGAAGAAATGGTTATTATTCTGCCCTGTGGTACTTGTTTTTTGAATAACAACTTGTTGACAAAAATTACTGACTTGGTGGTGGTGGTGGGTGGGGAGAGGGAAGATGAGTAAGAATTGAGTGTAAGGGGCACATGGACTGTTTAGTATAGGATTATGAATTAATTTTACTATCAGTTTTGCATACATAGTTATAGTTTATAGCTACATAAGTAAGGAATTAAACTTTAGTTTATTTTGAGACATCTTTGAAGTTTAGTTCCTTAAATCTAAAATTTAACAATTTTTTAAAAATACAAATCTATGTAATGGAACAAAGAGACAGGTTCTGCTGTCAGCTGTTTTTTAAGTTCTTACGTTTGAAAAAAACACCTGAAAGACCAAATTACATTAGGGAATTGTTGTAGAAACACACTTTTCTGTGTGCTACATGTTAAATAACATGAATAAGTTGTTGATAACTTTTCATCAGTTGTATTAGTTTATTTTCTCATAATGAAGCAATGTGGTACTGCATTCAAACTGTTTTCTTGATTGAAAGGACTTTGAAATGTAATTTCTGGATGAGAAGAAATTCTTGGAAAGAAATTACTTAAATTTTGCACTTATTTTTCAGTTTCTTACCTGATTTAGAAATATAACTAATGAATTCACTAAGGAAGAATAATGTATAAAGTAGTTTTATATAGAGAGACTTTATAGTAGATGTTTAGGTAAAAATAGCTTAACAGAAAATAATGATTATCTGTTGGTTATATTTTGCTTTTAATATAAAGAACTATGTAGAAATCTTGATAGGAAAAAAAGAATAGTTTCCCTTTTAAAAGGATTGACTACATTTTTCAGTGGGGAAAATATTATGATTAATTGTAGTGTAAGTATTTACCAAATTTACTTATCTGTATAGAAGCCTGTTTTTAGTGTTTTGCAACTAACAAGAAAAATCTAAACTATTGTAATTAATTGTCTTGTCTTTTTGCAGGCTGAACTCACGGGAATCAAATGGCGTAGGTACAATTTTGGAGGGCATGGGGACTGTGGACCCATAATTTCAGCCCCAGCCCAAGATGATCCAATCCTGTTAAGTTTCATCCGCTGTCTGCAAGCCAACTTGCTGTGTGTATGGCGTCGTGATGTCAAACCAGATTGCAAAGAGTTATGGATATTCTGGTGGGGAGATGAACCCAACTTAGTGGGCGTAATACATCATGAACTGCAAGGTAGGTTTTCGTTTTCTTTTCTTAAAAATTGAATGCATCATATCTTTTTTGAACAGTGGTAAATTCCAAAGAGGTTATTAAGACTTGCTGAGAAGAAAAATCCTAATGTCTAATGGGTGTGTCTCTCAAAGGAAAATCGTCACTCTCACCCCTCTTCTTCCCACTCCCATTTTTCCTTATTTTTCAAATTTTATTGTCCTTTCCCAGTTTTCCTGGGAATCAGAACCTTGTGAGCCACTATTATTAAAGAAGAGTTTTGTGTCTCCTGGGTGTGTTGGGTTGGAAAGCCACTGTTTAAAAAATATTTTTATTGATTTCAGAGAGGAAAAGAGGGGGAGAGAGAAATAGAAACATCAATGATAAGAATCATAGATCATCTGCCTCCTGCTTGCCCCCACAGGGATCAAGCCCACAAACTGGGAATCAAACCGTGACCTTCTGGTTCATAGTTTGATGCTCAACCTCTGATCCTGCCCAGGCGGGCAAAATCAACTGTTCTAAAAAGACAGTGAATTATAATTGGCAATTCAGTGAAATGAACAGTTGTTTTTTCTTGGACTGTAGCTGTGTGGTTATTGCCAGCAGAACTCTGGTGGAAAATTATAAAATGATAATAGAAACTTAGTGCACACCTTATTGGACAAAATTATGAGATGACATTGGCTAGTATTTTGATGAAATATTAATATAAATGATCTGGTCTGATATTGGTGTAGCAAGTTTTCTTTTGTTTTGTTCTTGCATTTTATGTAATTAGGTGATTCCAGGAAATATTTGTCTCAATGTTTCCTAATTTTTAACTTCAGATTACATTTGATACCTAGAAACTGAATTAGTGTAAGAGTTTCATTATTCTAAGCTCTACACTTTGTATCTACCACAGATTTATAATTAGAGGAAATTTTATCAATATTTTTGAATTTCTGATAAAAGATTTTGCCTCTTTACCCAAATGTTTCCATCTTGCATGCTAAGGAATTTTTCTAAATCAAAACTGATTCTGATCTTTAGTTAGGGTAAGGCATTAACTCTTTTTGTCTTACTCTCTTAGGGCCACCTTTTATGTCCAAACTACTCTATATTTTGTTAATTTGTGGTTGAAAAATTTTAGATAGTGTTTGAAATGTTTTGTTAGTTGACATGTTTTTTTTTTTTTTTAAAGAAAGGAGTAAAACTAACTTTAACGTATATTGAGAGTCTATCCTAAAGTTTCAAAATTTGCCTGAAGGATTTCCTGCTAACTTTTGTTTGATACCTTCATAGCGTTTTAATGCAGTCACTCTTATCTGTGATATCTCCTGCCACAACAGCCAGAGGGCAGTAAACCACAGAGGACTAAATTGAGCTGTTTACCTCATGGTCCATTTGTCTATTCAACTCAAACCTTTCTCCCCATATTTTTAGAGTACTTGGCATGTAAATGTAAGAACCCTTTCTGAGTAAGATTGCTAACTTAGGTGCTTAATCAGCAAAATCTCAGAACTAATATATATCTCAGAGCTATTTCATGTAGTTAGCAGTGAACTCAGGTAAAATTACTTTAACACCTGGATTTCACTGATCAGAATTTTAAAAATAAGAAACCTCCTAGAAGATACTTCTAAAACTTATATCTGTTCATTTAAATATCAAATCATATATTTTTGTTGCTTAAAAATTTTTTTTATATATGTAGTAGAGCCATATAACATTTGTTTGTTTTAGTTTTTCTCACCTTTATTTTTCATGATTCTTTTCTAACTCAGTTTCCTTCCATTTCTCCGCTCCACACTGATCCTTTATTTTTTAACTTTTTGGTCTGGTCTCTATTTGTTAAGCACACAAATTATCATTTTATAATGATGAAATAAAACCCAACTGTCTATTAGGCATATTTAGTTGATGTATAAAGTTATTTATTCATACCAACAAAGCACATGATCATCATTCTTAGAAATAACTTAAGTTATTGTGTTATTTCTCATGGACTTTGTATGTTACTGAGTTAAATAAAAAGATGTAGGCTATTTAAATTTTTTATAGTTGCCTTAGGTAACATATGTAGATTCATTAATGTATTAAGTATCTTTGTGGTAAAGAATTAAGCAAAGATTAACTTTAATTTTTTTTTTTTATAAATTACCGAAATAATACATTTTAATTAGGGAATTAGGGAAACAGAACTGCCAAATGAAGAGAACAAAGAAACAAAACCTAAAGTCTAGACCAGTTTTAATATTTGGTGTTTTTATGTATAAATGAAATTGGTATTATACTGGTTTGTAATTCAGTCCTTTTCCTTAACATTATATTGTGAATGTTTTCTCATGAGAATAATTTATTTTTATCTTCTTTCCTATTAAGTCCAAAAAAACTGTGTAGTGTTTATTCCTTTCTGAGCCACCAGAAAAGTATTACAGTGATGGAACAGTCATAACTTTGTTAAGTACATCTATTCTTTTTTACTTTGAATTTGTTTAAGTTATTTGATTGAAGCATATGAAGCGTCCAGTTTTGTAGATAAAGTGGTTAAAAAGGGTAATTTAAAATGGTTCAACATAATATTAGAAAATATTTGAAACTTAATTAGAAAAATGAATGGCATAAAGACAACCTTGTTTTAAGTGAGGGAGAATAAGACAAGCAGAGAAAGCATGAAAAATAATGAAGGATACGAAGGGAATATTTTAATTGCTATTCATAAAATTGAGGATTCTTGGCATCTATTTCATTCTCTGTTAATATATATGAGTCATTTCATTTTGGGTAAAATAACTTTTGGCAGAACCCTGTTAACATTAAACATGATAGTACTATTATATTTGTAAATTTTCTTTTTATAGGGCCATCTTACTTACTGTTTCTTAAAATGTGTTTTGACTGTGTTATTAGGCATTTCACTTTGTCTTTATGGTGTACCCATATTGGATACCACTAATAAACCTGACAGTAAAATACAATACCAAAGCAGTCATCTTAAATGTAAATGTATAAAGAAGCCCTATAGAGAATAATCCTAAGGATACACACATGAGTTGGTTTAATAATATTAGAGTTTTTGTTTAAATGCTTGAAATACCTATATAAAATAGTCTGAGAGAAGACAAACACATTTATAGCCGATCCCTGTAACTTATTGCTGTTTATATTGTACTAGAGGCCCTGTGCAGGGATTTGTGCACCAGTAGGGTCCCTCAGCCTGGTCTGTGGACATCCCCCAAGGGGTCCCGGATTGCGAGAAGGCGCAGGCCAGGCCGAGGGACCCCACCGGTGCATGATTGGGGCTGAGGAGGGACCGTGGGAGGGCTCCAGGATGTGTCCGGCCTGTCTTGCCCAGTCCTGATCGGCTGGACCCCAGCAGCAAGCTAACCTACTGGTTGGAGCATCTGCCCCCTGGTGGTCAGTGCGCATCATAGCGACTGGTTGAACTGTGGACACTTAGCATATTAGGCTTTTTTTTTTTATAAGATGGCCTAGTGGTACATAGAATGGGCTTGGGTTTGAATCGTTGCTAGCTGTGTATTCTCGGCCAAGTTATTTAACTTAGCAGTGTGGTAGCATCCTCACTGTAAATTGGGTTATAAGGATAAAAAAGTTAAAGTACTTAAAATAGCACAGAGAATAATCAATAATTCTAACTATTACTGCTGGTACTACAATGAGAACAGTTGACTCATACATCAAAATTAAAACATTTTGTTATTTTTTTATACAATTGGTCTGTTCTGTATAACATTCAATGTTCATCAAATATTGATTTTTAAAGTACACTTTTAGGTTGAATAATCATTTTTGAGTTTTGAATTGTACTGTTTGGGTGGAATTACTGGAAATAGTAAAGTGTCTAAGGCATTGAAGATAACCCTGCTCATATGAAATTTGTCTAGACTTAAACTGTAAACAAAGTTTCCTAATAAATCTTAAGCTGTGTTTTAAAGAGGTCAGAACTTAAGATTTGATTTTCTTGGTTACCTGTAAGGTAGATTTGTAACTTTTCTGTCTTCATGGTGGTGCTGAAGCAGGGAATTGGCTGAACATGTTCTTCCTTGTGTCATCCATGAGTATCTGTATCAATGGCTCCAGTTGGTTTGATGTAATCTCTTGATAAGCTGATAATTTAAAAATGGTATAAGACAAGCACACAAATATTGGTAATGCAGAGAACACTGTAACTCATACAGCAAAGAGAAACATAGTAGATTGACTACTTTCCAGATGGGCAGACATAAACTTACAACAAGAACACCGTGAGTCTTAGTGCCAAGGTTGATAACCTGTTTGGTTTCTGGTTTGCCTATTTAACGTCTATTAGGCAAGAGCTGTGGTAAGTTCTGGGTATGTAAAATGGGTCCTTAGCTTTAAGGAGCTCACAGTCTTATTGGTATAAACTAAATGAATCCTTATTTGTGATGCAGTGGAGTAAGCTATAAATCATTAAGCATGGATTCTGCATAATCATGAAATTCAACTTTGGGGACAAAGGGCAGGGAGATGATTGGGAAGCCCAGAGTTGGTGAGGCTTACAGGTTAGGTAGAAGTTATCTAGGTTGGGATAGAACTCATCCTAGTCAGGAGAAGTAGCCTTACAAAGAGCCTGTGGGCAGTGAACAAATTGTGGGGAGAGCCGGTTTGCCCAGAGCTTGGGGTATGACTGAAATAATCGGGGAGACTGAAAGCCTGGGAAGGGGTGGGGGGCAAAGTGTGGAGTACACTGAAGCAAGGGTGAGGAATTTGGATTTAATTTGATAAATTTTGAGGCATTGTAAGTCTCTGATCAGAAAAATAAAGAATTAGGAGTATCATACACAAGATGAGTATGAGTAGGAAGACCTTAGTATTTAATAAATTATTTTATTCTAAATTGAACTATGAACTTAAATATTCTGTTTAGTTTAGGATACAGATTTATTTAAATTTAAAAATACCAGTGATTATGTACTGAATAGTCTTTGCAATTTTATTTTAACTTCTTTCTTGACTAAATTCTTTTCCACATTTTCAATTTGAATTTTAGAGATTAA